ACGAACGGAATTATGGTTTGGGCATGGATGCTCTGGTCAGCGTATGCTCTTGGGACACGAACGGAATTATGGTTTGGGCATGGATGCTCTGTTCAGCGTATGCTCTTGGGACACGAACGGAATTATGGTTTGGGCATGGATGCTCTCGTCAGCGTATGCTCTTGGGACACGTACGGAATTATGGTTTGGGCATGGATGCTCTCGTCAGCGTATGCTCTTGGGACACGAACGGAATTATGGTTTGCGCATGGATGCTCTGGGGCGACTGAAAATTTGAATGACGCCCTTGCCCGAACTCCTCACGCCCTTGGACTCATGGGGCGCATCTGGCTTCGGGTTTTTAAGTCGCTGAGTGGTTGAGTGGCTGGTTTCGGGGCTTTGAGCGGCTGAAGGGCTTGAACGGCTGAACAGCTGAGTGGCTGGGTGGGAGGGCTTGAACGGCTGCGTGGCTGCGTGGCTGAGTGGCTGGGTGGGAGGGCTTGAACGGCTGAGGGCTGGCGTCAAATAGTGTCGCGCTACGCGACCTCAATCAAAACTAAGCCAAAACTCACATGCGCTTTTGCCCTCGCTACGGATGGATTTTTGAAGGCGTTCTGGGGTCCCCAAAAACCACCCAAAAAAACATCATGAGCACGGAGGTTTTTGAAAACTAGCCCTGAGACCCGTCCAAGCCGGGCCAGCAAATTGTCAAGGCCTGAGAGGGTGCCGGAGGACTTCAGATTGGAGAAACGGACCCCCAATGATGCTGATGATGCTGGCCCCCTGCGCCAGCATCATCAGCATCATTGGGGGCTCGTTTCTCCATGAAGGGGTGCGGGGGAGGGGAGACCTCGCCTGCGTTGCCCGCTCCTGGGCGCAGCCCCTTAAATTGTTTCTTGTGTTTACACGGGGTTCATATAGGGTGCATGCAAGGTTGTGCAGCAGAAGGCTTATGTCAAACCTACTCGTTGTGTTGAAGGCTTTGTGTAGGGCATACGTAAATGTTGTGCAAGGCTTATATAGGGTGTATGTCAGGTTTAGTTTGTACAGCGTCCATACGGTTGGTTGTCAAGGTCAGTCACCCAAATTAGGTTGCGGATGGGTTTAGAATGGTTTAGTAGGGAGGCCGCCTTGTGCCAAAAAGCGCATCCACATCTGAAATTCTGGCGAGATTGCCTATGCCAAAAATGTCAGCACTGAGCTAGCGCTTTGCTCACTCTGCTGCAAAGGGGATTTGCTGAGTCCTCGCGGGAGAGCCGCTTCACGGCTGAAAACTGAATGTATCTCAGGTTGGTGTCTACTTGTGTTGCCATTTTCCTACAAGCATTTTTCACCTGTAGGAATGCTGCCACAAGCCTTATCCACGGGCTTACGGTATACTGCAGGCCTATAGTCAAGAGCCAAGGGCCCGGCGGCCCTAAGCATACCACGAGCCACGTGAAATCACGTGAAGATTGATTGCCCATGAACGAGTTTGGCATGCCAGCACTAGCGCTCTTGGCCTGCACGCTGGCAATGAGGTCATCCGAACCGACCAAATCGGCGTCATAAACCTCTGGGAAGCAAAAAAAGAGAACCTTGTGGCAATGAACTCTTCGCCTGCACTGCCAGCGGCTCCCCACGCCTCCAACCAGGCCTCAAGCAAAGGCTACGGGCGTTATGAACCATTCAAGGTTTTTATGCATAAAAAACCTGAGCCATTCAAATGCTGCGATCCAAGGCTTAGCTCCACACACTGCAAGCGTCTGGTTCCAAATAGGATTCTCTGTGTCAGGGATTGCCTCAAATGACTCCAGAACAAGCTAAGGAGCCTGTTGCTGGGGCCAGACAGCGTAATCTGCACATCAGTCAGCATGCTACGCGAAGGCCAAGGGCAAGGCGGTCGTTTTTGTTTTTGAACGGCTTTTGCCTGGAACCTTGGACAGCAACATGGTACGAATCCATCCAGAACTCATGCAACCCCAAGACCTGACTAGCAAATCGACAGCCAGCTGGCCTGAACAAGTACATAAGGATCAGAGTGACCAGCACGGTCGGCTCTAGGCAATCCTGCCACAGCTATGGCTATGGATCATAGCTTAATTCTTCTTGCGAGATGTCCACTCATCCAGCGAAACCACACAGGTCCTGAGGCTCTCATGACAGTCACCTCAACAGTCTGACTCCCAACCTGAGTTGCAGCAGTAGTGCGGAACTGCTTGAGACCCCAATATCAACGGCTACCGACCCTGCCATCACTGTGCATACTGCCCAGGCTGATAGGCACAGATGTCACTGAATCCCGCTGCATTTCATGGTGTTGGTGGGTAGGCCTCCGCTCGTTTTTTGAAATCTCTGCTGCGATCTGCCGCAGGCCCCAGGCTCAGCACAAACCAGATCACCATTCAAACTAGATGAATCATTTGCGATTATCTGTCACCTGCACTAAAGATCGGTCTCCGCGACACAGTACTTTGAGATCATGGCGTCCAGGGTTCAGGGCTGCTGGGTGTAAGGATACATTGATCCGCACGAGCCTGTGGAGTCTAAAGAGCCGAAAGCAACCCTCAACCCTAACAAGCCCACAATCGCAAGCCTTAAACCATCTTAAACCTCAATCAACCCCAAACGCTGAGGCATAATGACCAGCTCATGACTTCGTTTCCGTGGAGTAGTTTAGGGTATGGATTTCGCTAGCGTTTAAGCCTCGGGTGGTTTAGGAATCAATGTTAGGTTGTTTAGGCGGGTTGGAGCTTTGGGTTTGCTTAGGATGGTGTAGGGTTCGGGGTTCGAGTTGTTTAGGGTCGTTTAGGGTTTTGGGTTTGGGGCTGTTTAGCAACCAGTCCAAACACACAAAGAGAGGATGGATACGGGGCGATGCACTGCTCTGAACGATCTCTCCTGTTCACGCGCCCGAAATATGCGCAAATCCTTAATCATCAGCGGTCCCTGCTTTGGTGGCCTCAGTTTTGTGTACGCAGCAGGCAAGGCTGTGACGACTCTAAACAACTGAACCACCATATTTTTACCATCCAGACAAGCCCAAACACCCAACGACCCCACACAATCCAAAGCCTCAAACCCCAAACTGCCCTCGACAACTCCAAAAACCTAAGCCGGAACAACCACAAACCCTACCTCCAATCAACTCCAAACAACACCAAGCCAAAGGCTCCAAAACAATCCCAAATTTAAGACAGTTAGAAAAAATTAAGCGGAATAAAACTCTGAAACCCCAACCCGAAGCAACCTTATGAGAAGTTTCAGAATGTTGGGAAACTGTACCCAACGTCTGAAGCTTCACCGCGCAAAAAAGTAGACATCGATGAGTTTCCTACACTAGGTAAAAAGATGCGAGTTCTTCGTCGCAGATCAATCGGGTTCTGGGTGAATCCTGTTGGCCGTGGCTGGCTTAAGGCGGCTGATCCGCTTCGTTGGTTTGGTGATTCGACTTGACTTCCCAGCAGGGATCCGTTTCCAAGCACGGTTCCATCCTTCTCCGGATCTGCTACCTGCAGCTTGCAGTGTTGGTGCACTTCCTGGCAGCTTTCACGCCCTCAACCACCTCCGCCACAAACACCACCACCACCACCACCACCACCACAACAACCACCACCACCACAACAACCACAACAACCAC